TGCAGGGGTTGTTGTGTATTTTAAGCAAGAACATTAAAAGAAATAACCCCTCAGTGCATTATAGGAATGGATGGGTTTGTCCAGCCTAAAAGCTGTTCCTAAGCCAGGGGTTACAGAGATTTGGACAAGGCCGTGGGCCTTGCATGCATCCCTGCTCCAGAATGTTGTTGAATCCCTCAGGAACCAAATGACTTCTGTAAAATTTAAGAAAATGTTGTAAAGGAGCCCCAAAAATCAACGTCCATCAGCCAGGGCTCTTTCCACTCCTTGACAGAGGTGAGAGCTGACTGACCTGCCTCCCCAGGAGAAGATAAGGATGTTTATACCCCCAAAACACACCAATTCCAAGGAGAGGTGACACTCTCACAAACATCCATGCTCAAAAATCTTTCAGTGAGGACTTACCTGCTGGAGGATGGTGATTATACCTGCCCACGAGCTTCTTTGGGATTCCAAATTTTTCACTTAGTACTTCCTTATTTTCTTTTCTGGCAGCAGTGGTTGAGCTGCTCAGCTAAACCAGGATTTAGGGAAGGTTTAAGCACCCAGGACAGGGATCAGAGAAGAAATTGCAGCCGCTGGAGGGCAAAACATCCCTCCCTGCTCCTTTTAAGCTCTTTCAAGGGAGGATTTACATCCTCTCTGCCAAACACCTGAGAGAGGGTCAGTCCCAGATCTGTGTGTGTTTTGGGCAGAAGATGCTAAAGATCGGGATGTTAAAGATTGGGATTGATCACGTGAAAGCCCGAGAGACGGGACCGAGGGGGGTTTATCTCCAGGCATCACCTTCACCCCCCGCAGCATCCCTTGGAGATGTGGCTCTTCCTGGAGTTGTTCCGGGTGCTAAAGACAAAGGATTTGGTTAAAAGCAGAGGATGTCTCAAGGCCAAACTTTATTGCAAGGCAGAGGGGTCCATTTCCAAACCCCACCCCCCCCTCCCCACAAGTCCCAGCGCTCTTTTGGGAGGAAAGGAGCGATTTCTTTGGAAAAGCCGTGCCATGGGAAACCAGAGCCGAGCGCTGGCGGGGCCGCTCCAGCGTCACTCCAGGTGCAGATATCCCCAGGTCCTTGCGGGGCTGGGTTTGCTCTTGTAGGTTCCTGCACAGACGGGGGTTTCCAGGATCCATCCAACTCCCAGATGTCCTCGTGAGCACTGGGATGGCTGCCCAGCTCCGGGCAGAAGGGACACTGAGGCAGCCGCGGAGCATCTCTTCCACCTCCCCCAAGCCACATCTAATCTCCCAGGAAAGTCATCCACTAAGAAATCCCGGCGGGCGGGGCCGGCCGGGGGTCCCGAGGTGCCCTCGCGGCGCTCAGCGCTGCAGCCCGTGGCTCACGAAGCAGGCGGTGAACGCCAAGAGCAGGGCGAGGCCGAGGCCACCGCGGTCCCGGGGGGCTCGGCTGGGGGGTCCCCGCTTGCCCCCCAGGTCCGGCCAGCTGGCGGCGTGGAAGCCACCCGCGGGCGGGGGCTGCCGGGCCGCGGGGATGCCGTGACCGAGGCGGGACGGGCGCGGCCGCCCCAGCAGCCCCATCCCATAGCCCGCGGCGGCCCCGGCCGCGATGGCTCCGGCCACCTTGGAGCCGCGCCCGGGGGTGCCCCCGCCGCGGGACACGGCGCGGAAGCCCCCGCGGAGCCCCCCGGCCCCGCCGCCGCCGCGACCCCCGGCTCTCCCGCCGCCCCCGCGGCGACCGCCGGCCACGTCGCTGAAGAGGGCGAGGAGCAGCATCGCCACCCAGCACCAGCCGTCCAGGGGCCTCATCCTGCCCCACCTGCGAGAGGGGCACAAGGAGGGACGGTGAGCGCGGGGAGATCGCCCGGAGCAGCGCCCGGGCCGAGGGGTCTCGCTCCGAGGAGGTCGCGGGGATCCCGGCTCCGAGAGGGGTTACAGGGATCCCGGCCCGAGGGGTTCGCAGGGATCCCGACCCGAGGGGTTCGCAGGGATCCCGGCTCCCAAAGGGGTTACAGGGATCCTGACCTGAGGGGTTCACAGGGATCCTGACCCGAGGGGTTCACAGGGATCCCGGCTCCGAGAGGGGTTACAGGGATCCCGACCCGAGGGGTTCGCAGGGATCCCGGCTCCCAAAGGGGTTACAGGGATCCCGGCTCCCAAAGGGGTTACAGGGATCCTGACCCGAGGGGTTCGCAAGGATCCTGACCCGAGGGGTTCACAGGGATTCCGGCTCCGAGAGGGGTTACAGGGATCCCGGCTCCCAAAGGGGTTACAGGGATCCCGACCCGAGGGGTTCACAGGGATCCCGGCTCCCAAAGGGGTTACAGGGATCCTGATCTGAGGGGTTCGCAGGGATCCCGGCTCCCAAAGGGGTTGCAGGGATCCCGGCTCCCAAAGGGGTTACAGGGATCCTGGCTCCGAGTCGTGCCCGGTTCACGGGGATCCCGCTCCGAGGGTTCACGGGGATCTCGGCTCCCAAAGGACTAGCATGAGTCCCGCTCCGAGGGGTTTAGAGGGATTGCCGTCCGAGGGAGTTCAAGGGATCCCGCTCCGAGGGATTTGCAGGGCTCCCGTCACCAGGGGCTCGCAGGGATCCCGCTCCGGGAGTTCCGCGGGGATCCCGGCTCCGAGGGGGTCGCGGGGTTTTCCTCAGCCTTGGGCCAACTTACTTATAATATTGTTGTGGATGTATAAATTTTTATATATTTTATATATTATATCACAGAATCACAGAATCAGCTGGGTTGGAAGGGACCTCCGAGATCATCAAGTCCAACCCTTGATCCACTACCACTGTGGTTGCTAGACCATGGCACTGATGCCACATCCAGTCTCTTTTTAAAAATCTACAGGGATGGAGAATCCACCACTTCCCTGGGCAGCCCATTCCAATGCCTGAGCACCCTCTCTGCAAAGAAATTCTTTCTAATATCCAACCTAAACCTCCCCTGGCACAGCTTGAGACCATGCCCTCTTATCTTATCTATATGTAATTTATCTATTTATCTATCTATTTATCTATTTTATCTATTTATATATTATATTTATTATATATTATAATATTACTACATATTATAAAGTTGCAATATATATTGCAAGCACTGATTCAAAGCTGAAGTGGAGCTCGAGAAAGCGAAATGGATGAATTTTTGGCCCAAATGGAAGCAAAACACAGGAATAATGCTAAGAATGGAAGAAAGAAACCTGCAGCCAAGAGAAGAAAAGCATAAGGCTGAAACGCTGGATTTCATTTTGTATGGAAACGTGGGTTTGGGAGAATTTCGGATTTTATATATTCATATATATATACCTGTGTGTAATACTTACATATTTATATAATTATATATTCATATATGAATATGTATTTATATAACTTCGTGGTTTATGTATTTATATATAAATATAAATACACATAGTATATTACTATATAAAATATATAGTATAAATATAATCTATAATACATAATATACTAACCAATATATATTATATACTAAATTATGTGTTATGTATTATATATTATATTATGTATAGTATATAATATATATTTTATATTTATATTTTATATATTTATATATAAAACAATATATATATTTATATATACTTTATGTTCATTTAAGTACACTATATTTATATAGTGTATATATTTATATATTACTATATAAAATATATAGCATAAATATAATCTATAATACATAATATACTAACCAATATATATATAGTATAAATATAATCTATAATACATGATATACTAACCAATATATATTATATACTAAATTATGTGTTATATATTATATATTATATATTATATAGTATATAATATATATTTTCTATTTATATTTTATATATTTATATATAAACCAATATATATATATTTATATATACTTTATGTTGATTTAAGTACACTATACGTAGTTAATGCACAACTTCTAGTGGAAGGTGTCCCTGCCCATGGCAGGGGGTTGGACTAGATGGTCTTTAAGGGCCCTCCCAACCCAACCCATTCCATGATTTGGTGTGTTATTGTACACATTTACCGTAGTCCATATATTTAATAAACAGGGAGGTGCAAACAAACACTCCCGACTTTCCCACCCAGTTCTCACCTTTGTCCTCCCGCAAACACCAGGAGCGATCCCCCCGCAGCCCCCGCAGCCCCCGCAGCCGCCGGCTGAGCAAACAGCCCCATTGTGGGGAAGCTGCTGAGCCATCGCGGCCCCAAACCCGGCCCAAACCCAGCCCGAGCCGCGGGGACAAAAGCCTTTTGAAAAGGCAGAGCCCCCCTGGCCGCGGCTTCCCTGTGTCAGCGATTCCCTCCCCTGCTGGAAGGTGCCAGGCCTGACCACCCCCCCTGAACCCAGCGCTCCAAACAGGGATATCTGGCTTGATTAATTGAATTTGCCTCGTTTCGCTGCCCTGCTCCTCCAGCCAAAGGGTTACTTTAAGGAAAGCCCGGAGAAGTGTCCCCTTTCCAGCTGTTTGCAGCTGCATCACTGCTGGAAACACCACAAAACTGGGCAGCAAACCCCCGAAAATTACAGACGTGGATTTTTCCCTTCCTGGTTTCCCCCTCTCTTTATTTCCCCGAATAATAAATATATATATATATATATACATATATATATATATATATATATATATATATAATAGATATATATCTCCATACTTAGAGGTCACCAAGCAGGGAAAATCCACAGGCTCCCCATCCCCACCTCCAGCTCAGGTGTGGGCCAAACCCCCCCACTTTTCACCTCGCTCTCTGCCCAGTTCCTTCCCTTTTCCCCCCGTTCCGTGCCGAGGGTGCCGCCCTTACCCGCGCCCCCGGTGCTGTGCCGGTGATGGTTCGATGGCTCTGACCGTCTGTGCCCGCCGGGCTCGGCTCCCACCGGGCTTTTCCCGGCGGATAAACCGAGCCAACGTCACTGGGGAGGGATAATTGGGCTTCAATGGGCTGGAAAACGCCGGGCCAGCGGCTTCGGGGAGGCAGCAAAGCGTGGCTGGGATGACCTGGGGGGTGCAGGAGGACAAAAAAAA